GCTCAAACAAGCCTCTGGTCCCAGCCCCCTGAGTAGCTGGGACTATAGGCACCTACCGTAATGTCTGCATAGTTTTTTCTGTTTTTAATAGAGATGGGGTCTCTAGCTTGCTCAGGCTTGTCTCCAACTTCTGAGTTCTAGCAATCCACCTGCCTTTGTTTTCCAGAGTTCTAGGATTACAGGCATGAGCCACTATGCCTGGGCTACAGAGTAATTATTACTATACATTTTAAAAATTTTTCTTTGATAACAAGAAAATCAAGAAATTGGTCATTTCCTTCTTGTCATTTCTTATTTTATAAATTTGTTTTCTTTCATTTTGACAAATTAGCTAGTAATTTATCAATCTTGTCAATTTTGATTTATTAATAGACTTATTTTTCTATTCTTTTCTTCAGCAATTTCTGTTCTATATTTACTATGTCCTTCCTTATATTTTCTTTTTGTTTCCTGTTGGCTTTCTAGTTTTTCAATCTCTGAATTTTTATTTATAAAAGGATGAGCCTATACATTTTCTTTTGATTACTACTTTAAATGTATCCCATAGACTATGATGGATGTTACTTTTTTTATTTATTATTTATTTATTTTTAGAGATAGAGTCTCAAGCTGTCACCCTGGGTAGAGTGCCGTGTCGTCACAGCTCACAGCAACCTCAAACTTGTGAGCTTAAGTGATCCTCTTGCCTCAGCCTCCCAAGTAGCTGGGACTATAGGCGCCTTCCACAACGCCTGGCTATTTTTTGGCTATAGTTGTCATTGTTGTTTGGCGGGCCCAGGCTGGATTCAAACCCTCTAGCTCCAGTGTATATAGCTGGCGCCCTAGCCACTTGAGCTACAGGCACCAAGCCGATGTTACTTTTTTTAAAAGTTTACTAAGGTCCATCCTTTCCTTGGATTTTACTAGTGTTTAACTGATGTCCCATTTTCAGCCTGTACATCTTTTCCAGGATCTAATCCAGACCACCACACTCCATTTAATCAGTGTCATGTCTCCACCTGCTCCTCTTGGCTGAGACAGTCACTCAAACTTTCTTTGTTTTTGCTGTCCCTCATAGTTTTGAGGGTGTTTTGGTTGGAAAAGCCTCTATTGAAACTTGTCTGTTTTTCTCATGATTAGACAGGGGTTATGGGTTTTTAGGCAGAAGAATGCAAAGGTAAAGTGCTAGTTTCATCACATCGAATCAAAGGTACATAAAATCACTCTTCACGGAAAGTTACTCTCCCCGCCCCTCCCTTCCCATACTGTCCTCTAGAAGCCACCATGCTCAGATCACACTTAAGGAATGGGGAGTTATGCTCCCTTTCCTAGAAGGTAGAGTATCTACATAAATTATTTAGAATTCTTTTGCATTAGAGATTTCTTTTCCCCCTTCTATTTATTTATTCAATCCATTATGTTAGTATGGACTCACGAATGTTATTTTATACTTTGGACATTTAAAATTGATAAAATAGTTTCTGGCTTTCTTGTATTTTGATCAGATCATATAATTTGTATAACAGTATACTTATAACTTGTGAAATAGCTCTATATTATAGCAATGATCTGATGTGTACTTTTGTAGACTAACATACAATCAAGCTTTATGAACATTTCATGTCCGCTTGAGCAAAAGGTGTGTTTTCTGTTATCAAAGCTTAAATGTGACATATATGCACAGATCTACCTATTTGATTATATAACCTATTTAGGTCTTCCATATCCTTATTTATTTTTGTCTGACTTGGCTTATATTGAGAGTGGTGTATTAAAGTGTAAGCATGCCAAATTAATTAGCATGCTATGCTTCCTGTGCTTGTATATTGCCTGTATTTTTTTTTCTTTTTTTTGAGACAGAGTCTCAAGCTGTCAGCCTGGGTAGAGTACCATGGGATCACAGCTCACAGCAACCTCAAACTCTTGGGCTCAAGTGATTTTCTTGCCTCAGCCTCCCAAGTAGCTGTGATTACAGGTGTCCACCACAATGCCAGGCCATTTTTTGGTTGAAGTTGTCATCGTTGCTTAGCAGGCCTGGACTGGGTTTGAACCCACCACCCTATGTATATGTGGCTGGGGCCCTGCCAACTGAGCTACAGGTGCCACCCAGCCTGTATTTTTTGCTTTATAATGCTGAGTTATTTGGTGTTAGACACTCATAACTATTGTGTCTTTATTTCGAATTATGACTTTTTGTATTGGAATGTGGTCTTCCTCACATTTAATGCTTTTTGGCTTGAATTCTCCTTTGATATCAGAATCACAACTGCTGCTTTCTGATGGCTTTACCATTATTCGTCTGGTTTTCCCTCTGTTCATCCCTTGGTTTTTAACTCTTCTAATTCATATTGGTTTAGGTATCTCTCTTACATAGCATATAGTTCGTTCTTGGGTTTTGGGGATTTGCCAGGGTGTTCTTTTATTTTGTTTTTTGCCAAACAGAAAATACTTTTTATTAACAGATGAGTTAAAACTATTCATAATAATTGATATGATTAATATGTTTGTTTGATCTCAGCTCTGCCTTATCATTATGTATAATGGGTCTATCTGCTATATTTTCTTTCTCTATAATAGTTTTAATTTTTTTAAGTTATTTTTTATTTAAAAAGGTTTCGTTTTCTGTACTAGTGATTGCCTTTGTGCTTTGTGGTAAATGGGCCCTCAGTGTGAGGGTTTATCTGGCTAGGAGCTAAGTCGTGTTTCATGTTTGCTGCAGCTGTAGATGTCACAGGCTTAAGTTCCTCTAGTGTCCCCATTTTTGTCTATACCATTATTTTGGGGTTTCCCTAGAAACCCCTCCTTAAATAAGGTCTGTGTCTTATAGCTCTCAGTTGTAATTTACTCTTAATTTACTAGAGTTTGTTGATATAGTGGGAAGGTATTTTGGAGAGTAAATGGTCTATGCTCTTGTGACTAAACCTTACTTTGTTAGTGGTCCTGAATCCCTGTGCTGTGACCCTCAGAAAAGTTTCTTAGTCCTTACCCCCCACACTATTTGTTAGACAAGAAGCCTAGAGGAGGCTGAGTTGTCTAACTGCCCTTTTCCTAGGTTAGAAAAGGAAGGATCTGGTAGTCTGCTTTCAGGGCTGGCCTTTCTTACTGAGGCTGCTACACTCCAGAAGCATGTTAGAGTAGTTCCTTTTCCCTGCCCCTCACCAGAAACACGAGGGGATTTTTCTGAAATCTTTAACTTAAAAAGGTGGGAGTGCCCCACCTGGAAATAAAACTCATAAACATTTGAGGGGCCTCCTAACACTAGGAACCCAAAAACTTTTTATTCTCAAGCTACCAAGACTCAGTTTCCAGCAACTAGGCAATTATTATTCCAGTAACCCTACTGACTCTGGCAGCATTTACTCCCAGTAAGTTATGATTCTTTATATTCACGTGCTTCTTCAGCTTTCAGCGCCATGGTTTGCCCTATGACCTCAATTATCTGAAAAATCTAGGAAGAATTAATGATTTTTAGTTTTTTGGGCTTTTTCGTATAAGAATAGAATGACTACTTCCAAATTCTTCACATCAGAGTAGAAACCAGAATTACAAAACGTACACGTTTATTTTTCTAGTATTTCTTTCTTATCCTAAAAGTAGTTCATAATCTGAATCAAAGAATGGAACATGCTAGAAGTAAAATAACATTTTAAAGGTTTATTTTAGTGAGGGAAAAGCAGTAATCATTAGACTGTATTATGCGCCATCCCCTATCTAACCCCAAAATACAAGCTCCCTGATAGTAGGACACTTGTTCTATTTAGCTATACTGCATCCCTGGTGCATAAAACAATGTATAACAAAAAGTAGGTATTGAATTAATATTTGTTAGATGAATGATAGGGTATGTTTCTTGACTCTAACCTCCGTCGCCATAAGATTGGAAAGAAGACAAATTCACCCCATTTTTCTGGGTTTTTGTGTTCATCACCAATTGAAACAGAAAAGTTTAAAATTAAAGGATTTTCAAGTATATGTAAAATGCTATTAAATCCTTAGGAACAAAAGAATTTCTTCATGGTAATGGAAGACTGACTCATCCTCTTCGTCATTTAAAAAATGAGATTTTTTTACCTTGTTAATAGATATGATCTATTTTCTTATGATGATACTTGTGTTTACTTACTATATCCAAGAAACTGAAGAATTAAAATCATTATGTATTGTTTAAATAACCCTGGCAACATGGTCAAAGGCATCATTTAAGATTTTAGAAAATGTGGCACATTCAGAGACCAGGTAGATTATTCTGGTTATATATGCCACGATCCAATTTCATGAAATCTAACTAGAATGCTTTTACTATGAAATACTGAACTTTTTGACATCTACATTAGGATGTCAATATATTCCTTTAATATACTCCTTTCTACTTATAAATTTTTCACCAAAAAAATATAGCATTTTACTAATGTATACTCCAATATATCAGCCATTACTCATAATAGTCAAAAGTGGAAACAACCCAATATCCATCAACTGATCAATGGTTAAACAAAACGTGGTATATCTATGCAACAGAATATCTTTCAGTCATGAAAGGAAATGAAGTACTGATGTGTGCTACAACATAGGTGAACCCTGAAAACATTACGTAAAGATAAAGAAGCCACACGCAAAAGGACAAATATTCTATAATTCCATTTACATGAAGTTCAGAGCAGGCAACAAAGACAGAAACTAGATCAGCAGTTGGCTGGGCGCAGGGAATAATAAGGAGTGACCAGTAACAGGTTCAGGAGTTTTGGGGGGATGATGGAAATGTTCTGAGATTAGATAGTGGTAATGATGGGCTAACTCCGTAAATATACTAAAACCCACCAAATTGTATACTTTAAGGGGGTGAATTTTATGGTATGTGAATTATATCTAAATAAAATTGTAATTAAAACACACATACACTACATGCATGTATATCACTTAAGGGTTTCTGAATAGATCATTTTCCCCTTAGTGGTTTCTAGTTGACGTAAAAGTCTCAAAGCATTCCACAAATAAAAACATCCCAAAATTCCCCCAAGGGCTTGCTTTGGCAGCACATATACTAAAACTGGAACAATACAGAGAAGATTAGCAGGGCCCCTGCGCAGGATGACAAGCAAATTCCTGCAGAGTTGCATATTTTTAAGGTATGGGTAAACTCACACCTTATAGGTATCATGCATGTCATGTGGGTGAAGGGCACACTTATAACTTTGACTCAAACTGTACAAAAGCAAATTATGTAACCAAAACGTGTACCCCCATAATACTCTGAAATAAAAAGAAAGAAACTCCCCAAATTTATAAATATAGGCCTGAAAGTTAATTCAAAGACCTATTAGAATATAAAGTCCTTGCAGGCCACAGAAGTATTACTCATCATCATCGTTCTATTCCCCTCCCCTTCTGACCTTGCCATTTACATCTTACCATAGTATTTTATACGCAGTAAGTGCTCAATAAATGTTTGCTCAAATGAACCTTCAAAAAGGAGACCAGAGAACTTGAATATTGAGAAAGAAGCACTCCTTGCAAGAACAGTGTCTCTGTTAGCAAAAAAGAGAGAGAGAAAAGGGAAAGAATTCTTCTTCTTTTCCTTTAGTATTTGGCTAGTTTCTTTAGGAAAAGAGATTTTAGGAACCTTCAGAACGTGACCCAATTATAGGAGATACTGTATTTAACCTTCCTGCATTTTAAATCAAAAAGCATCCTCAATGCAAAAAATTCCTACAGCAGAGCTGATGCAAAGCACAAGAAACATCCTAATACCAAGTTACTATACACAGATTAGCACTTATTAAATGAATTGGAACAAAATCACAATGAACTAAGTTGATCATAATGAGATCCTGATCTGATTTCATGGATAAGTCAGAAACATTTGCATATCTTGCACTACCACAGGGTCATCATTATAATCAACTGTCATTATTTACCATGGTTGACTGGTTTTGCACATGTATTCAATAAGGAAGTTTCAGATGAAATAATGCCAGGTAGACCAACTTTTTCTATAGGATAGTAAAATCAAAAGAATTGATAGCCCAAACCTAAATATCTTTTTTTTTTTTTTTGAGACAGAGTCTCACTATGTTGCCCTTAGTAGAGTGCCATGGTGTCACAGCTCACAGCAACCTCAAACTCTTGGGCTTAAGTGATTCTCTTGCCTCAGTCTCCGAGTAGCTGAGACTACAAGCACTCGCCACAACGCCCGGCTTTTTTTTTTTTTTTTTGCAGTTTTTGGCTAGGGCTGTGTTTGAACCCACCACCTCCAGTATATGGGGCCAGCACCTTACTACTTTGAGCCACAGGTGCCACCCCCAAAGCTAAATATCTTAAAGAGGAAAAAAGGAATAGAACAGGCAATTCACCACTATATCATGACAGGAAACACAGAAAAAGCTGAATGAAAGCTTAACAAGGAAGAACTAGCATTCAGGAATCCTTACGGGGGGAGGAGTTGAGGGGAAGTTTCATACAGCCCTCCAAATATAAAATGTTTCGTTGCTGGTGGGATGTAAAAAAGATGAAGAAGTGTAGAAGCTCTGTAAGCACTGGTTTGATGAAGACACAGAAAGAGAAAAGTACATTTATCTTCCTGGGCCTTTCAATGGCTTGCTTTGTGTCAGTGCAGAGAAGCAGACCCCACACCAGGCCAAGCACGTGTGGACGCAGAGGTATAATGCTCCTTCGGTGTAGCTTCAATGCAGCAATTTTATGTGGCACGATCTTTCATCAAATCTATGCATTTCCAAGTGTTGCAAATTACACCTTTAAGAAAGCACCATTGTACATCAGTAAATATACGTGGTCCAAAATATGTAACAGGACTGTTTAATGGAACAAGGATATAATTCCCTGAAAAATATAGTAACAAGCCTACATAAAATTATATGTGGGATTTAAATATTTTACAAATTAACTGGTAAATATTTTGCCTTAGCACTTCATTAATTATGTTTTTAAACGAAGGCACAGTTAGCTTCCCTTTCCTTACCCTGTTCATTCTCTAGGGCAGTGGTTCTCAACCTTCCTAATGCCACGACCCTTTAATACACTTTCTCATGTTGTGGTGATCCCCAACCATAAAATTATAATAACATGAGGAACTGTATTAAAGGGTTGCGGTAATAGGAAGGTTGAAACCACTGCCATAGGGTCTTCTAAAAAAAAGCATCTTTGAGAAAGGAAGCTACAAATTATTTTTCTTCAAAAATCAACTCACACATTTTTAAAAAATTAAGATTGTATTAATTATTTAAGTTATGTGTATTCATAGAGAAAAGAATCTGGCACTGAAAATAGTGATCTTCTTTTGTTCTGGGTTTCCACAGTTAGGAAGGGAAACAATTTACAGAGAATAGTTGTACAATGAGAAATAGCAGGCTTAAAAATTCACTTCTTAAACAACTACGGGGAGAGGGAGGGAGAGAGAAAGAGAGAGAACACAACTGAATTCAAATAGAGGAGAGAGGAGAGGAGGAAAGGGGAAAGAGGGAGAGGAGAAAGGGGAGGAGAGAGGCTGAAGAGTAAGCTCCCACGTAAGGTGCACAATGTAAGGGTACACACCCTGGGTAAAGAGCTCAACTACAACTTGAACTTTACCTAAGAAATGCAACCAATGTAACCTAATCATTTGTACCCAATTTTTTAAAATTGAAATTTTAAAAAAGAAAGAAAAATGCAAGTTTCTTGATATTAAAAAGTAACTTTGGCTCGGCGCCTATAGCTCAACCGGCTAAGGCGCCAGCCAC